GTATGATGTTCCTGAACTTTAGTAATTATTGTCCACTATCTGGCATAATTTGTTTTCCCGGAAGTTCTTGCTGTATTCCTTATTCATTTCCATTGAATGTTAAATTCCAGCTCAATAGAATTCTATGAAGACAGTTGAATACTAGAGATTTGTTTTATAATTCTGTGTAAAGAAAACTGAATGGGATTAATGTAAACGTTCCATGGCTGGCTAACCCACGGTTCCATTATCTCATTTTCTAGTATAGACTTAATATGTTGCGTTCTAAAGGAACTCGCGTCATTTTCATAAAGGCAAAACACTTTTTTTTTTGCTACAGTATAAGGCATGAAAACAGTCACAAGGTTTCTTCTCTATATCTTATTATACTCGATAAATCATATCTCTTGGTTGCGATTAATACAGCTCTAATACTTCTGATTTCTCTAACTCAAATTCTTCTTCATCAAATGAAAGATGTAATAGTTTTATTTATTTATTTATTTATTTATTTTTTAACAAAATAATGGCTGTTGCTGCGGTTTAAGCCTCCTTCCAGATAAGAGAGTCAATTGCTCACCATTTGCGATCAGATCGGATAAATATTTTTCAACATCCATCCGTCCACCGTCATGTCGATTATTCTCTAAATATAGTAACTGCATGTAGCAGTGGACTCCAAGCGTACAGCTCTATTTTGAAAGGAAGGTAGCAAACTTTTAATGCTTCCTTTAGTTGCCATATGTAGTTACCTATTGTATTGCCCTTCGTTACCCATTTTATTGCCCATATGTAGATAATAACATTGCAGAATATTTAAGGACCAGGAATTTATTTGCTCCTTCAATGCTTTTCTCTCAACAACATGGTTGCACATGAAATTAAGACGAAAACCGTTTGAAATATTTACGATGTAGAAAAGGTTGACAACCACTGCTAAAGAGACCTAAGCATTGAACTATAAAACACTCCCCCCCCCAACAAAAAAAAAACCCGAACAACTCAAATAAAACAAACCAGGCAAACAGGAATTCAAAATTGCGCAACTTTTCTGAATGAATTGTTGCCAACCAAACTCTCTCCGAATCATTATTTTTTCCCCAACAGAACTTAGAAACAATTAACCGCAAGCATCCAATTGTTCTGGAGTAAATATAGATGCGTCGGCGAAAAGCGGTTAAATGTGAACATTCGTCAACGCTCATAAGTAAGAGTTTTCGAAGTGTTAGCCTTTGCCTCAGCAAATACATATATATAAATACATGCATTTAGACAGCAAAAAAGGAGTTGGACAACAAATGTTCTCGTTTACAATTACCTTTGTGCTATTTCAATTAATGTACGAGAGTGCCATTTGTAGTACCAAGATCACGTGACACGGGAAAGGCAGGGGAAAAAAAGAGAGATCCAGGCAGTTTTTCTCTTTTGCGCCCTACGGACGATATTATAAATAACCCTAGATGCTGATAAGGCAGAAATTTGGCTCCGGCTATTTATTAGGCTGGTCGGTAATTGTTCTCGCATAGGAAGCAAATACTAGTACCCTGGAGCAGTTAATTAGGCGCAAGACGCCGGCTTTGAAATTCGGAAATTTATCTTCTTCATCGATCTGGCGGTGGAGAAAAGAAAGGTGAGCTTTACCTGTCAAAGTCGGAAGGTATAAAAATATATTTCTTGTTTGTCGTTGTAGCTCTTTCTGCACCTCTCTGCTATGAATTATTGAGTGTTGGCTGGGATAACTTTTTGTAGAAGGAGGGTGTCATAACTATTTATAAAACAACTGCTCGTATGTTATGATTGCGATGGTCAAAGTTGATCAACTTTTGCACATCTTTTCACACTTGACCGCATTCTAGTAGTTAGTCCATCTTATTTTTAATTTTCCCGTTGCTAACAGCAGATATGTAGATAACATGCATGTGTCAAGGGGGTGAAAAAATAATTATTTCCAGAAAATAAAATATAGATGCAATCATGCTCACAAGATAACACTTATTTTCTTCATGAGTCTTATATCCGAAAATGCAATTTGTATGCATTAATACACGACTTAAGAATTTAAGAATGCGATATGCACAGTATTAATGCAATTGAGATTTAGCGCGAAAAAGAAATTACAGTTCAAATAGTGGACATCTAATGTTTAGTAACATTATTGATAGTGATTTTAATGATTCTGATGAAAAGATCACATCCTATAAAAGAAAGTTTATCTAAAAACGTTAAGAAATTATTCTACGAATTTATTTACATTAATTTGATATGCCATTCTTAAACCTATACGATTTAAATTGTAACTATGCAAAAAAATTTATTACATCACTGAATTTTACATTAAAATTATGCACTTGCAGGAATGTTTTACTCCTGCAATTTTCGTCATTCGTGTGTCGTTCCAATGGCATTTATAATTTTTCAATGTGCTGATCAATTTGCGCAGGATAAAAATGGGTGTTGCCGTTCGAAAATTTCGAAATGTTTTTACTATAACCGCAACCATTGTTTTAAATTGTCACAATCTCGAGTCCATACGTTAAAATAATAATACGTGAAATTTCATTTCGATTGGTTGAGCCAATTAGAACATCTGGGAAGCATTTTTGAAGCCCACCCTGTATGTTTATTTCTTTAAAGGAATACCGACTAGGTGGACTCTGTACCTAAGGAGATGTATGCTTCTGTGAAATGTTTTCTACGGTAAAGCGACTCGTATTTATGTTACCCATACGGCAAACACACACATGCAGTCAACCCGTTCATCGGGATATGAACCGGATTGAGTTCAAAGGTTCATTATTAGCCATTAGCGTCGTTCATTATCCAGCCAGTGGTGAATCCGATACGAGAAATAACTGTGTTACTAACTTCTAATAAACTTCATTTGTTATAAATGTATCCAGTCCTTTTACATTCGATATTTTGCGTAATGAAATAGTGTCCTTTATGATTACAGATAGTTGTTCCAAGAATTGTTACATTCTTCTGAAATGGCGAAAATATTATAAGTTATTTTTTACAAGAATTAAATAATATTAAGATCTGTATCTGAAATGAACACATTTGAATACTTTTTCATTTAAAATGTTCCATACCTGCCTTCCACTTTTGGCATAATTTTTCATTTCTTAAGAGGCAAAATCGAAATACTCGTACAAGCAACTGCTTCAGCTAAGTTGTTTTCACAAGCGACAGCTAAAATGCATATTTCTCTTTGAGTTATGAACGCATTTAATTTCTATCGGGCGTTAACTGTTCTAATTGGCTGGGGCGCCGATTAATTGGAAGTCGGTCTTAGTTAAAAGTTAAAAATGTCTTGGATTAAATTTTGGTAAATTTCTTTTGATTTTAACGGCGCTTAATCTGTCGATCAAACGGGGAGTTCTGTATGCTTCATTTAACAAGCACTGAATGATATATGTAAGATTAAAAAACATATAAACCGAACTGATTATATATATAAAGAAGAATGTGTTTGCTTGTTTGTCATTATATAAAGAAGAATGTCTGTGTGTTTGCTTGTTCGTCATTATATAAAGAAGAATGTCTGTGTGTTTGCTTGTTCGTCATTATATAAAGAAGAATGTCTGTGTGTTTGCTTGTTCGTCATTAACTCAGTATCTACATTTTCTTTTTCTTTCTTTTTTTTTTTTTTTTAAAAAAGTAAATTCAGAGATATTATTTAAAAACTCTGAAAACGCTAATTTTCGCACTCATTTTTTCGAGTGGCAATAGTCTCGCTTGGTGGAGATAAAATCTGCTTTATTTTTTAGAAGCGTTGCCACGGCTTTCTTTCAAATCGTAGAGTACGTTAATCAAAAATTTGTAAGTTCTACAATGAAATAAAAATAGCATTGCCAAACATTAAATACATTACTCCCGATTCCAAAAACTCGTGGAATGTTTCGACTGTTCGACTGAAGATGGGAACAGTCCATTTCGACTGTTCCCATCTTCGTACGACTTTAATCAGCCGAGATATTAATTAAAAACTCTGAAATCACTAATTTTCGGAATTATTTTTCCGCGTGGCAACAGTCTCTCGCGTTGGAGTTAAAAATGCTTTTATTTCGAAAAGTGTTGCTAGTGCTCGTTGTTTGTTCGCATTACTGACTTCTGTTATGATAAATGTTTTGTCACATTTAATCGACTAAAATTGAATATAGGTGAAATATTGGATGGAACTTGAGCTTTTACGACCATTTGATTAGAAAGACAAATATCATTAATAACTGCGTGCCATTGTTGATTCGATATCGCATCAGACTTAAAAATGTATGACTATGAATTGTATTTTTGCATCGTTATTAAAATATTACAGCGGTATCGTTCTCTCTGTTGTTAGATACATTACTCTCAATCTAGCTTAACTGGCATCGGGTACTTCCGCTAATTAATAACTAATTTAAATTCCAAATAACACCATTAATTCTCAATTTTAATTTAGATATTTCCCTCTGCATCTTTTTCACAATGTTGAATAACGCAGCTATGAAAATCAAATGAAAATCAAAATTTGTAAACTAAATTCTAAATCCTCTTTTAACTAGGCCTCCATATTGGATAGACACACTTGCTTTTCTGCTTCGTCTCTGTCAATTTATCGCTGCATGCTGTAGTCAGAATTATATTTTAAAAATGAAACGGCACCGATTTAGTTCTTGTTAAAGTTATTTTGTTTACTTACAAATGTGTATCAGCCTAAACTACAAAGAAATGTGAAATTCGGCCGCAATTGCAATTCTTTATGTAGTTGAATTATGCATTTACAACGTAATACTTATCCTCAACGTATCCAAATTATTATTAGTTTCTTCAATATATATATATATATATGTGTGTGTGTGTGTGTGTGTGTGTGTGATAATAGCAAAGAAAAGCAGGAACACTGCTGATGCATAATAGCTATTTGATCCATATTAAAGAGGAAGAACTCTGATTGAGTAGTATGCTAATATGTTGACTTGGTAATATCTAAAAAACTTGACAATTGAGGCAGTTTTAATTCCACTTTTATTTTCCAGTTGAAGTTTGCGGCCACAATTCACTCGGCCCAATTCAAGAACACTTTATAGCGATAGCAAGCAAGACAGCGAAATTACATCTTGACAGAGCAGAGAGCGAAGCTAAAGTGCGTAGTTATGAAAGATGGAAGCACACGAAGAGAAAAGTTTTGGTTCCCAATATTATGTCATCAGAGCTCGCAGGCCATAGAATGACCCAGAAATGATGCAATCCAGAGAAGTTATTTCGATTTTTAAAACAGAGAGGAAGAATTAAAGTCTTACCGTTAGTACAAATTATAATTTTGATTTATTTATTTTTTACATATATCTTACATATATCATAAGAATATATATATATTCTTTAAAAAAAGTACTTGTGGGATTAAAACTTTTTAACGCAAAAATCTTGCGTTGAAGCTGCAAAGGACTAAATTAGAATTGCAAAAATTAAGATTATCTTATCTAACTAAGGAAAGAGGTAAATGGAGGAATATTTAAGCGGTCTTAAAAGTAAAAATATAAATTTAGATAGATTCAAAAGGTCTATTGTTTTTATTGTTTAATGCATTACATTTTCATTGCTTCTTTAATGTTGAAATTTCCATCAACGTTTTTACCACGTTTGCATCCCATACAATATACCTTTTTGACCTGTCTAAACTTCCATTTTTACTTCTAAGATTTCTTAAATATTCTTCCTACACATTTTTCCTTAGATAGAATAATCTCAATTTTTGCTCCTCTTGAACTTAATCTCTCTATATACACATACTATACGCATATATATAAGATACAATATACAGATATTTCGAACTATTTGTTTAATAAAGTGCATGCAACGAGAACAAAATGCTGATATTTGTTTTGCAACTCTTTCGTGTACCATTACATCCTCTAATGACGGCCATGTCAAAAACAGCGTTAAGTTTGCCTCCTTCAACTAAACAAAAGCACGTGGAAAATGGCATAAATAATTACATGTTACATCACGTTTCCATAGTTATCTGGGACAGATGCGTTTCCGATTGTGGAACATAACAGAAAACAGTTGTCAGAATCTATACACGTGGTTAAAAAATACAAAAAGCAAGACACGTAAATACAAATGCTTTAAACAGTTTACAAATACAGTATGTAATATCATTTATAGTATTACAGATTTGCGATTGGAAACGTAAACTAAAATGCTTTTAAAGAAATTAATGAAATCTATACACACGATTAAAAAAAGAGTCTACAGCTTTTCATAAAAATACAGTTGTAGCGAAGCGGTATCTTAACTTTAAATTAATAAACCTAAGAATACATCACTGCGAGTGGACTGTAAAATTTAACCTTTATTCGGCGGTTTTAACTTTCGAACACAACACAGCACAAAGTAAAAACGACAGAGTTACAATTAGCGGTTTTTAAGAATGCAAGAACAAAATGCGAACTACGCATACAATCTGCGCATTGCGAAATAATATCTAACAGACAGGCAGAGAGCTCTGGTGGCCGAAACATTCCGCCCGGCGTTGAAACATCGTTTCAAAATAAATAGCTTTTACAAAATGAAATTATCATAACAATATTAAATTATGCAAAAATGTATCATCAAAATATTCACAAGAAAACATAATATGAAATTATGCAATGAAAACTAAATTGTTCTCAAAAAACAGATGCACAGAAGCCTTGATACAATTCAGGAACTTATATAACTAAAGCAAAGTACAAAGTTATAATGCTTTAGGAAAAAAAACTTAATCATTGATAGGCAAAACACTAAGTTTGTGAATTGGCCTTTTGAAAACTCCGTTAGCGGTTTTGATCTTCACGATACGCACAATATTATCTGAGCTAGGAAAAAGTTCCTGGTTTTCCTCTTCGAGACCAAAGCGCTTTAAAGCGGCAATAAATGATTCTGATGTAAGATACCTACTAATTCAATATGTATAGCTCTTGTAGTAAAACACACGAATACACAAATGTAGCATTTCATTGGTTTTACTCCTCGACCTTGCCTGGGCTTCACTTGAAATGGCCCGGCGTAGTCAATTCCAACTTTGGAGAAAACCTTTGACGGAACGACTCTAGACGATGGTAAATCAGACATTATCTGGGTAGAGATGTTTTAGCTCGTACACGATGACATTTCACGCATTTCCAAATCTGTTGTCTTACAACTGACCTAGCGTTGGATTATCCAATATTCTGTTCTAATTACTGATAGCAATAGCAAGGGGGCCTGCATGAAGATGGGATTCATGAAAATGATTCACTATAATCTGTGTTATGTGATGTTTCTTGGGCAACAAAATAGGATATTTTCTGTCCTGCGCGATGTTGGATTGTCTTAATCTTCCTCCAAACGCGTATAAGTCCATTCTTATCGAAAACGGAGTTCAAGAAAAGGATCTTACTATTTGAGTTTAACGGTTGATTCTTTTTCAGAAGATTATATTCATTAAAAAAACTCATCCCTTTGAACTACTCTAACAATTGCATTTCTAGCGTATTGCAATTCTTCGGTTTTAAGGTAACCCTTAAGTCTTGTTGCGGTAGATTTAGCTGAATTATTCGCAAACCGAAAACACCATGTGATGATTCTTTTAAGTTTCAAAAATGATGATGATTGAAACTTCATTAAGGACTGGAATTTGCGAAGCGACTGTTCCAATTGAACAAGAAATATTTTTCCGTTGTTCCCTTAAAGACTCTTCTGAAAATGGTAAGTTGAAAGAGAACGGAATATTATTTGAATTAAGCCACTGAGGACCTGTCCACCACAAGTCATGAGTAGAAAGCTCTGAAGGCAAAAGACCTCTTGATGCGCAATCAGCTGGATTCTCCTTTCCTTTTATGTGATTCCAATGTGATGAAGGTAAGACTGATTGAATTTCTGAAACGCGGTTGGCTACAAATGTTTGCCAGCGTGTTGGTTCTGATTGTATCCAGGACAAAACTATCATTGAATCACTCCATGCGTAAATACTGTCAACATGAATTTGCAATGAATTCTGCACAGCTTGAACCAAATGCACTAATAGAACTGCAGAGCAGAGTTCTAAACGAGGAATAGAGATTACTTTCAGGGGAGCTACGCGAGTTTTTGATGTTAGTAGCTGCACCGAAATTGAAGAATGATTTGAAGACTTTAAATAAATTACTGCGGCGTGCGTAAGCTTTCTGATGCGTGACAGAAACAATGAAGTTCTACATTTGTAGATTTGGGCAATAATACTCTCTAGGAATATGAATGCATTCAAGATTTGCGATATCTTCACAATAGATTTTCCATCTTTGATTGATTTCATCTGGCAAGGGATCATCCCACGAGATTTGTAATTTCCATATGTCTTGAAGCAAGATTTTTGCTGCAACTATAAAAGGTGCTAACCAACCAAGTGGATCAAAGATTTTCGAAATAGAAGATAAAATTATTCTTTTAGTAGAACACTCTCTGTTTTCGAGATTTCCAAAGTGGCAAGTAAACTCGTCTTGCGTTGGATACCACTCCAAACCCAATAATTTTATTGATTTAGTATCAACTACTGCACCTGAAGAATTTGAGTTCCGAGCACTCAAAGCAGTTTCCAAAATCGAGCGATCATTAGTACACCATTTATGCAATTGAAAGCCACCTTTTTGTAAAAGTTCACTCAGTTGTGAAATTAACTCTACTGCGTTTTCTACTGTGTCTGAACCAAATAGGACATCATCAATATAACAATTGTGTAATATTATTTCAGCTGCCTTTGGGAATTTAGTTCCTTCCTCAATTGTTAGTTGTTTGAGTACGCGAGTAGCCAGGTATGAAGCGGAAGTAGTGCCGTACGTAACTGTGCACAACCTGTAAGTTTTAATCGGCTTCGATGGATCATCTCTCCAAAATATTTTTTGGTAATCGCGATCTTCATCATGAATTTGAACTTGTCGATACATTTTCAATAAGTCGCTAGTAATGGCTATGGGATAGCATCTAAACCTCAAAAGAATAGTAAATAAGTCGTCTTGTACCTTGGGACCATTCATTAGCGTGTCATTAAGCGATATCCCTGATGTAGTTTTGGCACTAGCATTGAAAACGACACGTAGTTTTGTGGTAAGACTGGATTCTTTTAGCACGTGATGATGAGGTATATAATAATGAAAATTTACTTTATCTGGATTATCATCGGATAATTCTTCTATGTGTCCAAGTGATAAATATTCGGGCATGAAGTCTTTATACTGTTGATATACTTCAGGGTTTTTTATTAATTTTTGTTCCAGACTAAGAAACTTGCGAAAGGCTGATGATCTGGAATTACCCAACTCATTTCTTTTAGGCTTGAATGGCAGTTTTACTGAGTAAAAACGACCCTTTTCACTACGCACGTGATTTTCCACGAAATGATTTTCACACAATCTTTCCTCTTTAGTTAAAGGTTTCGATGTGGGAATTTGTTCCAAATCCCAAAATGATTTAACTAATTCCTCCGTGTTTACGTTTAGCGTATTGACTGAAACCTGCTTACGGTTTGGGAATTCAAAATGTGTAGTTCAGCAATTATCCATCCTAACTTAGAACAACATGCAAATGGAAGATTTTTGTGCCCCTTTTAATTACCTCGCCATTTATTAAAGTAAGGAATACATTAACTCCAAGTAAAATATCAATTTCTCCCGATTCAGAAAATGTAGGATCTGCTAGAGTTAAATCCTGGAAATTTTCATATAAATTCAAAGGTAAAGTTACACTTGGAATGTTTCCTGTAATTTTGTCTATTATGTAAGCGGATGTTGAAATTCTGTAATTAGTATTAAAATGAGGTGTAAACAATAAGTCAACTTCTCCAGTAGTAGTTGTATTGAAAGTACCTAAGCATGACACTAATATCTTCGAATCCTTTATGCTCAATCCTAAATTGATAGCTGTTTTCCGACGAATGAATGATTTTTCACTACCTGAATCTAGTAAACATCTACAATTTATGAATTCCTGGTTTGAGTTTTGAACCTTAATTAAAGCAGTACACAAAAGTACATGACTACATTTACCATTAGCATGAGCTACAAAATGTTTATTTTCATAGTTGTTTGCACAAACAGTTGGAGAAACCTCACTCAAGTTGTTTTCTGGTTTAATTTGCGATTTCGGAACAAACACTGTGCTTCCGGTGAAGGGAATCTAGATGCATTTTTTGGTTTGAAATTATTTTTTTAATGCAAAAATGCTATGATGATGCTTAAAACATGCTTGCAGGTGTTTGCACTCTTACACATTTTAACTTTAT